GAGAGAGAGAGAGAGAGAGAGAGAGAGAGAGAGAGAGAGAGAGAGAGGAGAGAGAACATACAAAAGAAAACAATAAACAAAACACCCTGGTGAAGAGAACAACTTTGAAGTACATCCTGGAATAAGACGGACAGATGGTTGGACAGAAGAAGGGATGATCGGGCAGACATATGATGTAATAAATGTTGATGGTAGAACCTAAGCAATTGGCAATGTGTGTTCCTATGCAATTCTTCCGTGTCCTGAATGTTTGAAAATTTACATAATGAAATATTTGAGAAAAGGAGACATAGCTAGATTTAATGTCAACTACTTTTAGGGAAAATACACTGAGAAAGGCTATTGGTATGGATTGATGGGTTCTGTGCCTGGAGCAGGTAGTGGCAACTAAGCCTACACAAAGGCCAATGTAGGGCATGCAGGCAATGCAATGCTTAGGGCAAGGCTAACACGAAGAGTGGGTTGGGCCAGTGTCAATCAGCAACCGAAGTGTTATTGCAATACCTTTTCCTAGGCTGGATGTCTAAGCATCTGATAACAATTATTATAAAATAGTAAAACAGTGAAGGTAAGAAAAAGAATAAAACAAACAAAAATACCTTCCACAAATATTGAGCTAGCAAACTAAAATTCCATAATAAACTATCAATCTACTGATAAAGCTAATAAAATTAACAAAGAGAATAGACCTAATGAACCTAATTTAACTGAGCTTAGTTCAATAAGGCTGCTGTGGCTCAGCCAGAGAAGAGGAAAAGTGAGCCTCTAATAGATCTAACTGTTTCCATGGAAACTCACCGTAACTCAGGACAAAGCTTAAGATATGTATAAGGATGTGTAAGACAATGGCTCAGCAAGCTCTAAGGCAAATTCATGTTTTCCAGTCTTTATAACTGGCATGCACAGAAGCAGAAAATATAACCATAAGGAGGAGATACTAAATGTAATACTGGAAATACAAGGAAGGAAACCAGGAGAGAGAGGGATGGGAAAGGAAGAAAATGAGCAAGCTAGCTGTGGTGGCTACATTAGTAACAGACAGAGCAGAAGTTAGGCCAGAGATTGTAAGAGGAAGAGAAGAATGCTGTTTCATAATCAGGAGGGAGATAATTTACCATCCAGACACAATAAGCCTAAATGTTTATTCATCTACAGATAGTACTTCAAAATACAAGGTAAAAAAGAGACATAACTCTAAAAATAAGGAGAAAAATATACAGAGATTACAATACTCTAAACAACTCAATAACTGGTAGCAGTAAGGGAGAAAAGTCAGCAAGGAGAGCAAGGACTGGAACAGCAGTATCAACCTCTCTGACCTGGTACAGAGCATATCACCCAGCAAGCAGAGAGGCTCTCCTTCTAGTGCACTAGGATGTTTACTAAAGACAGACCATACTCTGGGCTATAGGTTACAAACAACTAAAAATCTCAACTGCCTAAAAATGAAAACATATGTACCAAACTTTGATGCTGATAAAGCTATACTTAGAAGGAAAACCTAGAAGCCAAAGAAAAAGAGATACCTGAACTGTCTCAACCTTAACTGAACCAAGTTTCCATCAATCAAATATGTGCTAAGACTTTGGCTCCAGAAATCCTTGAGCACACATCCTCACTGATGGTATCTGTTCATGTAACATTCTATGCGTCTCTTACCACCCTAACATCCTGTCTCTGTCTCCTATGAAATGTACAGTTCCTATAAGCCAGTGGCTCTTAACCTTCCTAATGCTGCGACCCTTTAATACAGCTCCTCATGTTGTGGTGACCCCCAACCTCTCAGCAAGGTTGAATATGGGACACAGAACAAAGTGGTTTGGAGCCCTCCAAAACTCTCTGATTCTCTAAGAGTTGGTTTGAGAGTTTCATGTTTGTTTTCTTCCTGTAAATACCCCCCAACAAACCCAGGAACAGCCACCACAGCACTGGTGTACACTCACAGTCCTCAGAATCACCGTGACTGCCATCAACAGCCAAGTGCTGTAAAGACTTGCTCCCCCAGGCACCTAATTCAAAAACCATTTTATCACAATCAACCAAAGGCATCTTTATTTAAATTAATTACAAGGCCATTACATGCAATGGGTTACTAGGAATCTCATTTCTCATTAACAAGGGGCTGAAGAATATCCCGATAACAACCAGGTGTCCAAGCTGTAATCAACCCAACTTGCAAGCTCTGTCTTTGATGGGATTTTGCCCAAGAACACTTACTCAGTCACAGCCTAGCTAGAAGACCAGAATCCCATCAACTATTTAACAGAGAGAAATTAACTAAAAGTCATTAACTAACACTGGAGATGTAACTCAGTGACTGCCTAGAGTGGGAGACTCTGCCACAAGCT